ACTGAAAGTTAAACGGACACAAGTAAAGAGTAAAACATTTAAGATAAAGTTGTACCATTTAACAGTTTTTTTTTTTTCACGACTGAAAAAAGAATAAAGGGATCCAACGCATTTTCATTGGGAATGAAAAAATAAAAATCCCCAAAAATACACTGCCCCAGCCCAAAAAAAATTATAACCCCTAAATGTTTATTTTTTATGGTTGAAATGATGGAAGAGACCAAAAAGCATAAAATTTAACCCAAATTAAAAACTGTAAAACCCTACAGCATATCTTTTAAAATACTAAAAAGGGGTTTTCCACTGCCCGGTTTTTTTTAAGAACAGGGAATAACGTTATGGGACCAATACCCTTGACTTGATGAAAAAAATCAGTCAGCCCCCTGCACTTCTAACTGAACTTTGGTTTCCACCCGCATTTTGTATCTCCGGGACTAAAAAAAAAAAGAAAAAAAAATTTTAATTTCAGGTATTCATTCTCCTTAAAATAAAACGTCCAGGCCCTTTCCCTATGTGCGTTAAATTTAAAAATTTTTTTTTTCAGGAAAAAGTGAAATATGGCCCGTCGTGAAAACACGCTGTTCTTTAAACAAGGAAAATTGGCGGGGCTTTTAGGGGAAAGGGAAAACCCTTAAAAAAAATCCCCTCAATAATGAATTTTGGTTCAATTATTGCTACTTTGGTATCATATTTTTGAAAATCGATTTTATATTTTTACTTTCCCGGTTTTAAAATATTATAAAATGGTTTCATTTTGTTTAAAAAGATTAAAAATTTTTTAATTAATTTGGTTTATATTTAAAGGGAATTTTGGTTCCATACATGACTTTCTTGGTCCTATATTGAAAATTGGTAAGTTAATGTAAAAACAACTTATATATTGATCTTCGGCTCCATCGTTAAAATGATTTTATATAAAAATAAAAAAGAAATTTTAAATTGATAATTTGGTTTCGTGTATAAGGACACATGGTTCCATACATTGTTACTTTGGCTCCATATATTGAATTATTGGTATCATATATTGTAATAACCAACTCATATATTGCTACTTTGGTTCCATACATTGATAAAATGGTTTCATATATTGTAAAAATGAATAAATATATTGATAATTTGGTTTCATATAAGGACACCTGGTTCCAAACATTGTAACTTTGGTTCCATTTATTGAATTATTGGTATCATATATTGTAATAACCAACTCATATATTGCTGCTTTGGTTCCATACATTGATAAAATGGTTTCATATATTGTAAAAATGAATTAATATATTGATAATTTGGTTTCATATAAGGACACCTGGTTCCATACATTGTTACTTTGGTTCCATATATTGAATTATTGGTATCATATATTGTAATAACCAACTCATATATTGCTGCTTTGGTTCCATACATTGATAAAATGGTTTCATATACATGTATTGTAAAAGTGAATTAATATATTAATAATTTGGTTTCATATAATGACACCTGGTTCCATACATTGTCACTTTGGTTCCATATATTGAATAATTGGTATCATATATTGTAATAACCAACTCATATATTGCTGCTTTGGCTCCATACAGTGATAAAATGGTTTCATATATTGTAAAAATGAATTAATATATTGATTATTCGGTTTCATATAAGGACATCTACTTCCATACATGGCTAATTTGGTAACATATATTGAAGAATTGGAATCATATATTGAGAAAATCAACTTATATATTGCTAACTCGATTTCATACACTGACAGTATGGTTTCATATATTGGTACTGTGGATTAATATAATAGATTCCGGTTAAATAAGAAGGTGTTTTCAATTCATATATAGTCGAAGTGAACTCATATATTATCCAAATGGTTACATAAATTGAAAAAGAACAATATCAGACAGCCATGGCTTTTCATATACTGGAATATATAACATGCATTTTAGTCCATTCCAGAGTCTTGTTCCATATTTCTAATTTACGAATAACATGAGCTGCTAGAGATCCGACCTTAGACCGACAAAAATGTTCTAATCTGAGGCCGTTAATTGTTTATTTGTCTTACCTGAGTGCTTTATAGTATATTCGTCGTGTTTACTTAAATGGAACCACTACCGGAACATTTTTGCAGAAATTATTCTTGCTAAATTAATAAATAAATTTGCAATAGATTTGCATCGGCCGGGAATCGAACCCGGGTCGCCTGCATTCTACCACTGAACCACCGATGCTCATTGCCAAATATGCAAGTTGTAAACATATATTGTTATCATATCACTCACAGTATATTCTGCCCGGGTATTCAGTACATGTATATAAAGTGTTCTGTAACAATACATGTATACTTACTTTTAAGTTTATAGTTGACGATATCAATATCACTATTTATATAAATAAATCTTAAAAATCTCTGATATAAACTCTTACATTTTTTCACTCTTATTTCTATTCATCATGTCTCATCTTATTTTGCTTTATTTATTTATTAAGTGAATGTTGCTTCATATGAATAGAATCTAGATATATCTTCCATTGATGTAAAATCCCTAGACGTAGACATGACTTGACACTATGTGATAAAAATGTACAAGGGAACCAGTCCCTAGCTCTTATTGAATAAACAGACCCCTTGGTTCTGTGTACAGGGTATGTATACATGCGAGGATTACCTGGATGTGTTACCAGTACACCACTAGATTGGTCTGAAATATCCAAATATCGAACCCGGGACCTAAGGAATGAGAGTCATTGGTCTAAACAACTGAGCTATGTCGCCACCTGTACGACAAATGACTCGTAATTCTGTATCATTCTTCCAAAAGTATTATTGAGGTTTACTCATATTCAGAAATCAGCAAACCTTTCAGCATGAACATGTAATTATCATGAAAATTGACAGTTTATTGCAGACTGTAGTTTATTGGCGGTGGCGTCTTTAAAGGAATCCTTTTTTGGCCAATGGTAGAGCTGTTATTTTTAACAGTTTATGTGATGTTAATTTAATTAGTTTTATTTTGATTCGTAAAAATCAAGTAAACAAATATGTTCTTATATTCGTGTTTGATAACTTTATCTCTTTTAATGATATATTGAGCTGAGGTAAACCATTTTCAATATTAAATATTAGGCAGAATATGCAAGAAAAAATATCTGACATATGTTTGCTGTTCGGATCGGAATATCCGTCCCGAGGAGACCCTGCTCATTGAGCAGAAACGAGGCTTACCGAGTTTCCGCCCTTGAGTGGGTTTCTGAACCGCAACATATGGCAGATATTATTATTTTTCTGTCATTTAACAACAATGTATGGCGCACAAGAATTTGTTCCTCCACTTAAATATCTAAATATGAATGCGAATAGATAGATGGTTGTGTCCGTCATTCATTAATCTATTTTGGAAAAACTATGTATAAATGTTTAGCATATAGAGCTATTGTGTAGCACGCTTAAAAATTTCATTAACGTGTATTGGTGTTCTTGTCTGGTTCTTGTTCTTTGAGTTGCGGCCATTCGTTACTTATAAAATTGAATTTATTGAGGTAAATATCACCATATTGTAAATTTTTTTGCAAAGGTTTGTAATGGAATTCGGCATGGATATACATGTATATAATTGAAAAAGGAAATTATATCTCATAAGTATATTCTATTTAAGAAACCTCTTTGAACTTTAATTTACATATCTAACATGTCGTGGTCTTTTCTGATAAAATTCTAATTTAATGTCATTAATCCACTTTTAGTACGTCTTACTATAGCTTATATGTGTACATGTACTATAACATGTTTATGTTGCTACTTAAACGTACCTGTTTCTTTAAGATATGATAGCTTTCACGTTCAGATTCACCTGATACAGCAGATAGATTTTGCTTCATTTAAAAATGCTTACATGTACTTAGATGCGCAGTAAGAACAGTTAAAAGCCAGAGAATTGTCCAGATGGAACATCGGAAGTGCGACTCATACTATAAAACTCCTTATACTAGTATTACATTGTAAATGTATAATGAGAACATAAGTCGCAAGTAATGGTAATTTACACAAATGCTCGTGTAATAATTGATGATAACCTCTTGACCAACAACTCATGTACTCGACAGTATCCTCTAAAATAAATTGGTTTTAATTCACCACAATGCTGTTGAACAAAATTACTAGTAACAAGACAGCCACGAAACACTAGCTTCAATAAACGTATGTGTTCGAATTAATGTTTGAAAATTTCATACAATGTTGTTTGGTATAGTATCCGTTATGCATGTAAATGCATCAGATGATACACCATTTTATGAGCAAATATAACATTTTTTTCTGGTGGGGAGGGGGTGGGAGGTAATCCTCCCCACTCCCTCTTCATTGAAGTAGATGACCTATTCCATATCAAACCGTAGATTACAGTCATATGTGTGGCTTTCGGTTCCAAACTTTTTCTCAGGATAAAACAACATTACTCTCGTAATTTTGGATTTAAGGCATGACAACATTACCATTTTTTTTACTGTACTACATAAACAGTATACCCAAATGCTTTTTCGAAATCGATCCTGAGGCCTAAAAACATGTGTGAAGTACATAGAGGTCCATGGTGAGTATTTTGAAGGACCTTTTTTAAGTCATTTTTCACAGGTATGACTTTTCTTTATTAAAAACGCGTTGTCCCTCGTATACAGCATATTAACATATAATTAAGTGTAATAAGGTAGTCTAAACATGTCTGTAGCTTATATAGTATATAACTGCAACGAATGACCTTTAACCCTTTAAGCAAAAAAGCAGAAAAACACTGTTTCCAGAATACTGAACTTAAAAATATTTTGTGACGGATACACAAATCGCACAAGTTTTATATTTTGCACAATTAAATTCCAAATTGCAATGTAATAATATATACAATTCTACTGGAGTTGTTTCTTTTACTTTTCATTATAAAACACCGGAAATGTGTTACAGGCATTATTACAGACATTTTGTAACGTCTCTGACATTGTAACACTGTAAAAAACTGCCAATATTTGTTTTTAATGTTTCTATTTTATTTGTTACATTCTGTAAACTTTAATTCAGCAATTTAAGTCATTTTAGTGAAGTTTTAAATTAAATTTTACATCTGTTATCCATTTAGTCAGGTTCAATGATATATATTTAGAAACGATAGTACAAATACTTTTCATCATTTTCCATCTTTAACAGCACAACCAATACCAGCTCCAGAACAGGCAGCAGCCACTTCCGGTCCACATAAAAGACCACACGCACCTTCTGTAGCAACGGTACAAAGAGCACACCCTCCTCCAATTAAACCGCAGCTAATTCCAGCACCAGTGCACACTGGGTCTCCTCGTTTTGCTAAGAAGCCTGGCATGTGTTTGTTCACAACATTATCTCCGAGCATCTTGGCAAAGGCAACTAGCTCGCTCTTCTCGTTTGGGCATTCCTCATACTTCACATTGCATGCCTCGCTGTTGCTTCTCTGACCAAAGGCAATGGCGTCAATGACCTTTGAAATGTGTGGATATTTGGCAAGGAGACCTTTAACCTTTTCAAATGCCAATGGTTCGATTTCTTGGTAGAGGTTTGTCAGGAATCTTGAGTAATGCTTAAGAGGATTTTCAACTTCTCCAGCCATCTCAGTTTCCATAAGACAGAAAAGTTTCTCAATGCATTGTGTTTCATCTTGGAGATTGAACAATTGTTCCATCATCATAAATGAAGGATTCAGAAGACGGAGTTTCTCCTCAACATTACCGGAATGAATGGAGAACGCATGCGTTGAAGCAGCGAGAATGGCGACACAAAGGAGTCCGGCGTTCATTGCAGATCTATTGGAATGAATTAAAAATATTTCTTTTTTTAAATCCATGAATATTTTTAAACCATACAAAACATATATTCGAATTTAGTGAAAAATGTGTTATCAAAGCATGTGCCATACCCTCAATTCAGACACTTTGTCTGTCGGTACATATGAAGAAAAGAAACTAAAAAAATAAGGTGGTTCATTTTGGCTCTTTTGACGCATAACGTTGGCATTTTTATTCTTATAAAATCAATAAATGTAGTACAGTGTAGGAATGAGAACACAAAGTATGTAGGTAAAATGTTATTTATTTTTATTCACCAAGGGCGGAATATTCTATATTCATTTAAAGACCTGAACTATCGAGTATTTTTCCTATTCCTGTAGCAGTTTCACATAAAAAGTTGAAAAATAGTGTGAATATTACAAGTAGACATAAATTTTACCAAACAAATTATTTCATTACTTTTATAAGTTTAGTTGAGTGGCAATTTTGGAACATACATCGAACGATTTCCTTGAAAAAGATAATCATTCTTTCAATGGTGGTCCTTTTGAATTTTTCATATGACGATGCAACAATTATTCGACCGATTGCCGACAGCTAAATGTACCTTTTAGGTCATAAAAGGCTCACTTTAAAAAACAAACCTTAGCTGTTCAACAACTTGTCAGTGCTTTGGAAATAATAAAGCTCGCATAAGAATGTTTCTTGACAGTAATAGATACCTGCATCTATCGTACATCCATATAAACTATTAAGATTTTCAAACTTAAAAGAATCCTTTATTTGCTTAGATACTCTGTCAGAGCGGATTTACCTGCCGTACAAACGTATTTATAATAATATCCAAAAATCAAATGTGAAAAAAAATTAAAAAATATTCAAAAACAATCTAAAACCGCCTATTAAATGTAAAGTAGGAAAATGCGATTGACGCACATGAAGAGAAGCAGTATTTTATTAACTCTTAAAAACCACTAGTTATACTTTCCTGACACTGTACCACATTGTTATATTGTAAGAGCAACATTTGTTTTGGTTCCATTTGGAAGATCATCTCATCTTTCAGTTTGACGCCCTTACTAATTCAAAGAGAATTTGTAGAGGGGATATTTGTTTGAAACGCAGAATATTATATTTAAGAAAAGCTATTAGAAAGAAATTAGAAAGCATGTATTAATAAAATAACAATTTATGTTTTGTACTTACTTTGGTTACAGGCAATCAAGTATAATATACCAAGACTTTGCGGGCATTATATATACTCCTCTTCAGTATACATGTTTAGAGGTCTGTTCAAAATGGTATTGGACTATCGTTTATACGAAGAATGAAATGTTATTCAAATTTTAACAATCGGCATTACCGTTTGTATTTTCCTTACCGATAACCTGTTTCGACCCATAATTTGCTTACGTGACATATTTAAGACTTTTATCAAACGTTACACAGGCTTAGCTATTTTGGCTAAAGGCCTCAACAGACGATAGGATTTTGAAGTACAACACCAATTAAAACTAAGATATACAGCCAAATCTTAATGTGTGAAGGCTACTATTTCTTGATTTCGGCCTTAAGACAACTGTTAAACTCTCACACTTAGTCTCCGTTTTAGAAAACTGTCCTGTTGAAAAATGTATGTCTTAATTAAATTTTAAAGGACTTGTCTGCAGTTATAAACATATCTTAGTACTTTCCTTTCAGATTTAAACACTTACCTTTGTAAAGCTCAGTCTGGTCGAAGAAGAATAAATGTATATAGCCGTCTGTGACTTAAATTGTGCTTTTCAACTTATTCAATAAAAATGAGGTAAACATACTTTTCCTATGATTGAATATACTGTACCTATATATCACTCTAGATTGAATGAAAGGTTCGGACAGCTTTTTATTTTCAATTTCTTTACATTCATTTTCTAACTATCTTATTTTTCATGTATTTCTATATATTGCGGGAACTTTTCGTTTTCATGGAATTAGAAAAAAATAATACTTATTTTCTAATATGACTACTATGAGTCGAGAAAAAAACGAAAACTAACAAGTTTAATGCTGGGGACGCGGACCGAGATTTAAGATATTAAACGGCGTGGAGCGGGGTACTTAACTTGTTTTAGTTATTTTATAAGATTGTTAATAATTAAGTGTTTTCATTGTAATATATCAGCTGATAAGCAAGTTTATAATATATGCACATTGTGCATGCTCAAATAACATGTCTAGCCAGTACCTCGATGTTAGGAGAAAAAAATTATTTAGAGTATACACGTGTTTGTGTTATATCACTATTTCGTGAACTCTTCTTGATTGTTATAACTCCCAACAGTGATAATGATTGTGAGGATACGGATTGTTTTATTGACACGGTAAATAAGTTTCATTCTTCTCGACCAAACTGCGCTTCTGTTACATTAAATATAGGCCCAAATGCGCTGCCTATCATACTGGGTCAATATATTGCCGTTTGCACAATATTCACTTTTGCAGCTTGAAACACCCTTGTTAACCCCAGTCAGCTGTCATTTTATACTGTTGGAAAATTACCAGTGATGTTCACATGCAGTTATAAAGGGAAATCCGTGACAAGTAGTAGATAGTAAATCTCCTGCAGAATTTAGAAGTACAACACCAATTAAAACTAAGATGTACAGAGAGCGTCCTGGTGCCAATTTAACATGTTCTATAAAAAAGATAACTCCTACGTAGGAGATAAAAAAGCCTAATAAGGAGTTTATAAGTCCTACGTAGGATACATATCAAAGTACTGAAAGCACAGAGTGCGACTGAAATGTTACAAATGTATGCTAGAGTATCACCTAGGATAGTATATTATGTAGGAAAATAAATTATATGTGTGAAATTGTAATTGTGGCAAGCCGCTTTGGAGCAATACAACTAGTACTTACTAAAGATGTCATTCTCTAAATATATCTAATGATGATTTTGAATAAAATACGTTAGCTATATTGATTATACAAAAAATACACGGGTGAAGCCTTGTTCAAAGTAGGATATAATTCATTTTTATGCATGCATATTGCTTCGCAAATCGCAACTTTTCGGAACTGGAACAAGACACTTCACATATCCCGCCTCTATAAAGATTAAATTATTCGAAACGGCTGAAAATGGATAAATTGCTCGTTTAATTCAGCTAATTCGTATGGAAAATATAATCTTTAAAGCCTTTAAAAAATTTGATATATGTGTATACTTAAATGCTAGTTGCCGAATAGATTTCTCGAAGAGCTGTGAAGCAATTTTTCGGGAAATGCTTACAGACACCTCACCCTAAGACACTTTGAAAGGTGAAGTTTTGCGGCTTGGCCAAGTGGTTAACGCGTCGCACTATTAATCTAATGATCGCTAACTGCATGAGTTATAACCCGTCAGGGGCAAGTCGGTGTAACCCTGAGCAAGAAACGTTACACTCCTTTCTCAGTATTGGTTGTTGCAGGAACGGATACGAAAGTGTGGCTATAGCTTATAGCTTCCTACACAATCGAACTTAAAAACAAAATGTATATACCAAAGGTGAAGTGTCCTCAATATTTCAGATTTGAAATTTCGGCGAGGAGGGGGGGGGGGAATTAAGTATCTTGTTCCATTGACGATATACCGGTCCGTAATGTTGAGATTTGCAAATCATTCTGAATGTATTTCTTATAAAATCATAAAGTCCTACGTAGGATATACAAACTACTCACTAGGCTTTATATCTCCTACGTAAGACTTTATAAGTCCTTCGTAGGACTTATAAAGTCCTACATAGGTGTTATAAACTCCTAATTGGGCTTTTTTATCTCCTACGTAGGAGTTATTTTTTTTTTTGAACATGGTAGGAGCTACAAAGTCCTACGTAGGACTTATAAAGTCCTACGTAGGAGTTTAAAAGACTTAGGAGTTTAAAAGTCCTTCGTAGGTGTTATAAACTCCTAATTAGACTGTTTCATCTCCTACGTAGGAGTTATCTTTTTTTTATAGAACATGTTAAATTGACACCAGGACGCTTCCGTTAAATCTTTATGTGTGACTGTTACTATTTCTTGAATTCGTAAACCTTAAGTCTAGATGTAAGGGATAGGACATGTTCTATTTTGAAAATCTTGTCGTACAGATTTCTACAGACCTCCCACAATGACAAGTAACAGATTACCAAATTATCTCCTGCTAATGGGTGTAATGAATGAAATTCCAGAACAATTAGGGCTAAAAGGTAAACATAGTAGAAAGATGGGGTAAAAATGATATTGAAAAACTCTTCAGGAGACCCAAAGTTGTGGTATGTTCGAATTCAAATTGTTCCGAAAATGATACTGTCAGGGTATTGAACTGTATTCTAATCAGGAGAGGTTGGTTTTAGACGGCCAGATAGCTCAGTCAGTAGAACCGCAGTACGGTATTGCTTTTTTACTTGTTACATCAATTTAGGTCATTATAACATGTGCAAGAAAAAAGAAAACAGTTTTACTCTTGAGACCGTCTTCTCAAAAAGGTGTTAAAAACTGTACACAATTACATGAAGAATATTTAAAGCTTAAAAAATTCACATTAAAATCTAAAGGGGAAAATACGTTAAAGAAATGTAAATGCTATTTTAAGTTGTTTTGTACATGGTGTAAGAAAAACATTTTCAGGTATTTACCTGCGCTTGATGTATATGTAGCTTTAAATTTGTCATTAGTTTTCACGTATAGTTCGTCAGAGTAAAAAAATAAACAGTATTTTGTATTCAATCTCTTAATTGTGCTCATAAATTGGCCGGGTTAGAAGATCCGTGATCTTCTGAATTTGTGAAAAACAATTAATGTGGCATTTTAAATTAAATGTGGCATTTTAAGGGAGTCTGGTTAGCTGTCTAAGCCTAAAGGGCATGACGAAAGATCGTTTTGTAATTGCAAAATTATTTGCAAATTTACATTTTTTAAAGATCGGGAGCTCGTCCGAAGTAAAAGAAAGCTGCTCGAAAAACACCCTACTTTTTACATGAACAGTTTCCCCCAGAGGTTGTACAAAAAACGACTTAGCTTATTTCTTAAACTGAAGAAAGCCCAAGAGGAAAACAAAACGTCATGGATTGCCTACGACACGCTGTTCGTCGATGGTAAACCAGTCAAGTCAGCCTAGGAATTACCGGAGAGTGAGCTGAAAGTCTTCGCATGGAATTGCAATGGTTTAAGTGACACTAAATTAAAAAATACTTAATTTCTAAAATTTCGGAAAATGATATATGTATTCTAACTGAATCATGGACTGATGAAAATTCCAATATTGAAATTAATGGTTATACAAGCTTTAATTATTATAGAAATTTAAACATAAAATAGCTAAAAGAAAGAGCGGCGGAATTGTTATATATGTAAAAAAACAATATTAACAAGCAATTGTAATAGTATTGCAAGCAATCCATAAGTCCCCTACCGGTTAGAACTCCAGCAACATTATGATGGGCCATTGGCCATTCAATTATACCATTGATTGAATGAATAACATCAATGAACTTCAATCGTTTGAGTTCTAAGTTTGCATATAACATAGAAATTTGTTAGTTTCCCTGCCAGGTAAGAAAATTATGTTTATACAACAGATAATCAATTGGACCAATTTTCTAGGATGAATAAGTATAACAAATGTTTCAACTTTTTTCTCTATTTTGTTGCAAAAATCTTGTCATATTATTATGATGTGGAAGTTTGAAGTAAATCCTAAAAGAAATGAAGAAGTTTGGAGTAAAAATATCAATTTATCGAAAAAGTTCTGTCGTATAACGGAGGAAGAACTCACGGATGTTACATACTTTTAATATACAAATACAAACACACAAGTGAACGAGTGGAATACCAAAGCTGAACTCCCACTCTGACATTTGAGAATAGTATATATAATATCAACCTGTCCTAAGGACATTTTATAATGTATATGAATACACACGTTTTAGAGTTGCATATATTAATCATCCTGACATAAAGGTCAGTCCATATGCATCCTGCACTATAATACTCATAAATCAATGTCATGTTCCATAGTGCACATTAAGAAATAAAAACCCTAATATATGTATATACATGTTGACTTTGTCATTCTTTTTGAATATAGCATGTATGACTAATTAGCCTGTGCAACCAGCAATACGACAAATATCCTCCTTTTCCTACATAAAAAAAATATTTTAAAAAAAAAAAAAAGTTTTAAACAAGGTTACTATCAAATATTTCAAACTCGTTTGTAACAAATTAAAAAAAAAAATCTAAAATCAACTTGACATCTGTTTTACCCCTAAGGTAATGATGTTTTACATCAAACCTTTTGTTACTTTATTCTCAAAAAAAATCGCCGAAAGGTAATATCCGGTCAGAGAT